TATATATATATATAAAAAAAATATGGATGGAAATAAATTTATACACATACATGCACTTTTTACTTTACAGTAAGATAAGTTTACGCTGCCCTAGCATGGTGGTCACAGAATTATTATTTATATTAAAAGCAGTCTTCAAAGAGGGGAGAGTCTATGCTAGGAACATAAAAAAGTTCTGCCAAAATATTATAAAAGCTCTTGAGAAACTGGAAGAAACATAAAGACCCTTCTGCTTTCTAGATGACTCATTTGCTTCAAGATTTGAGCCTTTTTTTTACTTGACTGCAAGTTACCAAACAGAGCTGGGCACTGTTCCAGTCCCACTGAAGCTCGTGTCTTACAGGTTTACATGGGATTTAACTGAGCTGTTTCCTGAACTAGGCTGAAGTACACAAAGTAAGGGAAAGATGCAGAGGAACAGGTGTCAGAACAATGTTCTTATTTATATTAAGGAGTGTTTTCTGGTATAAAATAATTCTGTGGCAGGCATTTTGATTCTTTTCTTACAGTAATATTCCTTGCTATGAATTCTGGGACTTCATCATTGGTTGGGTTGATCAGCACGAAAAATGGAGTCTCTGCTGAGCGATGCAGCCCATCAGTGACATAAAGTACAAAGTGATCTGCTGTTGGCTCCATTCGCGCGTGCCTGGCTTGTACATAGTTTATGTTCAGGGCTTTCAGGTGCTTCAGCTGAAATGAAGCTAGGGATTTTAAAGAGATGATGAGTTAGCACAATCTTTTCCTGCCTTCCGGTCTTATGTATCATAAAAGAATCTGAAACTATGTCTTTCTTCAAAGAACAAATAACTTGGATTTTATAAGTTCTCAGTCATTTTGTGGCTGAAAGAGTTACACTGCACATTACTGCAAGACACATTTCCTTCCCCTGAAATAAAAATGCATCCTTCCGTTTCTTGTGGGACCGCATAACTTCATAATTCTCAGTTCAGTCTGCAGAACTGAGCACAAATAATAACACCCAAATAACAGGTAGGAAAAGATCTGAGATTGAAGTAATGACATGGATTGTTATTTGACTGACAGACCAGGAAAATGAGGACCAAAAGGCTCAGTGATTCTGGGTGTTCAGCTGGAGACGCTGGTAAAAGCTGGTAAAAATACAGAACTCACCACAGTCTGTTCTGCTGAGAATGAAACTGCCTTACAGTGTTTGAAGGTAGACAAGGGAAGAGATCAAAGTCAACCACCATCTTTCTCACTTTTGTAACTTTGCCTTGGAAACTAGCACAGGACCCAGGTTTTTCAAATTCCCAGCTACAGCATTTAATTGCCAGAAGTATCAGTGAAGGGAAGCGCATGAGTCTTGCATGGGAGGGTGAAGGGGGAGACAGAGAGAGCAGATTAATGTCTCCTATCCCCACTTCTAATAGATTGCAGCTGGAATGCATAAAACAAGGATTGGCTTGTTTACTTCAAGTGCCAGTTCTTCACATTTGCAGAGCTGCAGTCTCCCTTTGAACTCCTCCCACACAGTCCCATCGCTCTTCCTTTGCCAGCACCTGCCTTCCTCAATAATGCCGATGTTATTGCACACACCTGCAGCTACTTCGCCGGAGCCCACCGCGCAGCCCTCCACAAGCCCTCTGGATGTCATCTGCTTGATTACTATACCTCGTTAAGACTTACCAATACTTATACCAATGTTGCTCTTCTCAAACCCAGGAGAAGGCAGTATATTTTCAATGTAACCAAACTGGGGAGGAGAAACCAAAACAAACTCTAAGTCATCTGCAGTGGTGTCAGGGTCAGTGGCAAACAAATGGTTGGTGGTAAGGGCTGCTGAGGAGCCCTCCTCCACCACAAACCTTGCACCTGCACACAAACAATATGATAAGCTCATTTAGCTCATTTTACTGTTGTTTTTGTTAACAAGAATTGAAATAATAACTAAGGGGGGAAAGAGAACAAATACTGAGTTACTGAGGGGTTTTGCTTTAGGGTTGGGGTTTTTTTTTCTGCTTACACCATCAACTCTACTTTTGCCATCATGTACAGAGGAAAGGGATCATGAAATTATTTTACTAGTAAGTTATTAGGTATGGCTTATGTGCTGCTCAAAATCAGTTGTTACCTCTGTTTGTTAGAACATTAATTACATGAGAGCTGTTATGAATTGCTCATAATGAACAATTTTTCATGCATCACTGCTTAATTTCCCTGCTGGGACAATGCTTCATTTCCATAACATTACTTGGGTGAGAGCCTGCAAATTACAAAACTACTCATACACATGCTTAAAAACTCTCTGAGATAAGTGATGCTTACAAACACATGTCATTGAAAAAGACAAGCATACAGAAAGCATACCTTTAATATGTATACTACAAACCTTGTCCAAAGCCCAGGAAATAAATGGCAATTTCACACAATGGGCTGTAGTTGGACTAAATGTACATTACCAACACTATTTCCATTTTAACTGAGTATTTTTGATCCTGATGAGTACTAGTGAAATTGTGGCTTTACATCTTTTAATTTGATCGGTTACATATATAGCCTATATTTGTCTTTATTCACTAACAGTTAAATGTAGGTAATAAAAGATTCTCTCCCTCCATATGAGGGACAGAGTCTAAATTTGTGTTGTATACTTTACATGCAAATATAGATAGATATTGATGTTTATGTTTTTGCATTGTGTAAACCTGACATTGTCTGGACCTAGGTTCAGTTCAGGGACAAGATATCAATCACTTTTACTCAGACATAGCTTACATATGCAGCAATGGTCGTGTATAGATGGAGGAAAGCGGATTTGAGCACTCTCATCTCTAAACATATAATTTAAACATGCAGCTGAAGAGCCACAAGCAGTTACTCATACTTGCACCTGCAGCTGAATTTGGTGCCTGCACTGTACTAGCAAAAGAAAAAAAAAAAAGATGGAAATTCTGATCAAAACTTCTGTATGCTGATTTCAGCTGACTCTTTCTGATGCTAAACAAACAAACAAACAAACAAACAAAACCCCTGACTCTTTAGCCATTACGGTACTGCATAGCCCACATCATAATGCTATAGTGAGAGGAAGCTTTCACCGGTTGCAATTGATGGAGGCTGGTTGTCCACTGGAAGTATAGTGATGTTAAGGTCGTATACTGGAAATGGATCATGAAGAGGAACTGGAGGAGGAAGAGGTCCATCATAACAGCAGTCTTTCACATCTAGGCCAGCCTCACCATCAGAGACAATGAAGGTTAAGATGTCAGTGAAAGCAGTCAGGCCAATCTCCCCACCTGGAAAAAATGTTGCAGTTCAGAATAAATGTTTTACCAAAACTTCATGAAGAATAATTTTGTATCCTGCAAGAACAGTCTGCAGTATTCAAAGCCAGAAGAACAAAACAACAGCAAAATTACTAGAACTCTTAATTCTGGCTGGTGGGAGTCCTGTTTATTTTGGGATATGGTTTGTGGTTTGTAATAATTTTAACCAACTTATTTCTATTCTAGAATAAAAGGATATAGAAAAGTATATTACTAAGTTAGTATTATTAATAGTTATTATTATTGCAATGTTATTATATTGTAATTATAATAAAATTGCTAATAATCCATATTGTTCTGTTCTTTGTGCACCAAGGCATGTGCAAAATGTACATTTGAGCAGAAAGAGAGGGTTTTTTTCTGCATTCCCTCTTGAAGAATGTAGAAAAAGGTCTTTCTTTTGTATATATACTCTCTATGACAACTGGTAATATCCATGCTCTTCCAGAAGAAAACATTTTTGCATACCAAGAAATGCATATGCCCCTTACCACTACCAAATGGACTCTAACAAGGATTGTGCTTTGTTACTATACTGCATATTATTCCTATATGTAATCATGTTCAAAATGTGGGCTGATAACAGCACAGGACTGGGAGCTGCCACCCCTTGCAGGAAGCATCTGTGGCTGAGTATATTCCAGTTCTCAGCACTTCTGCCAGCCTGTGTCCTGCATTGCTGCAAGATATTACTAATAAGCTGCCTGAAAAGGAAAGGCAGTGACTCCCACCCTCTCTTGTGATATCTACTGGCAGCAGCACATTTAAATTTGGAATGAAAAACAGAGGCACTGCACCCTTGAAGGTCAGCTTCTGTCCTTCATTGCTTCTGCAAAACACTGCCATTGAAATAATGTTTCTGGTATCTTTAGGATGCTGAAGAAAAGTTTGTTATGGGTGGCCATAATCAAGTACTTCCTTCTCTTCTCAAATACCAGCTGTTCATTTCAGACAGTGCCAAGCCTGAAAATATCACAAATATTCTCCATGCTCGCAAAAAATTACAGACTAATTACACAGAAAACCAGAGCCTTTGGGGAAAAAAAAAAAAAAAAAAAAAAAAAGACTAAGGCTGTCATCAGAGATGTAGAAAAGAAAACTCCTAACGTTAATGAAAGGACAAAATTAAGTAGGAAAGGGGGTTAACTAGCCCTTGATTTCTGCGAGTAATTAAAAAGGGAAAAAAAAAGTATTTTTTTTATTCTAAAGATAAAACCACAAAATAACATCATTTTAGCACTGTGATTCTCTTGAAGAAATTCTGAACAACATTTATCCTGTAGTACAGAAAAACTATAAACTGTCCAAAAGTGGATATCCATCTAGATTGGAGAGGCAAGCAAGAAGTACCTCAGGTTGTTAGCAGTTTTCTATTAAAACTTGGCATCCTCATTTACAGTGTTACATTATTTTATGTAAACGTGACTATGGAAGAAGGTCAACTTTTTTTTTTAATGTCTTGGAACAAATAAAAAGACTCAATTTTGTACCTAATTTAATAGTAATTTTGCCAAAAAAGCCCAAGATATTTTACCAGCAACAATGAGAGATCCTCCAGGATTATGATGCTTTCATGTACTTGTTCTAACATAATTTTCTGTTCGAACAGGGATTTGGAGAACACATTAAAACATTTGCTAGCTGTGTATCATCAGCCCTTTTTTGAAGCCAGCTTACTTC